ACACACACACACACACACACACACACACACACACACACACACACACACACACACACAGAGCTTTAGTCTCTTCAAACGGTCTGAACCGTGTTCAGCGAGCGATGAAACAAGGCGAGGCCGCTCACTTTGTCCACGCTGGACGAGTCTTTGAAGAGGACGAAGCCGAAGCCCCGGGACCGGCCCGTGTTGGAGTCCATCTTGATGGTGCAGTCCGACACTTCTCCGAACTTAGTGAAGTAATCCTTCAGGTCCTTTTTACTCGTGTCCCAGCTGAGGCCTCCAACAAACATTTTACTGCAAAACAAAGACAAGGAGAAGTTTAGACTCATGAACAATAACACCTAACCTGAAATAAAATGATCCAAACCAATCAGATCAGAATCAGGAAAATGTTCTGCTCTCATTCGCTGAAGCCAGTTATTCCTCTAAACTGCAACATTTTATATTTAGTTCTGTTTTTATGAGTCCAGACGTGCAGATTTTTATGAATTTCTCTTTTGATTTTGTTGCCACTGTGATAAAAACATAAGTARACATGACCTGACACTGTAAAAACTGCATCCAAGTGTTTGTGAAAACTTTAAGTTTAAAATAAAACACGTCAAATCATAATGGTTCCTGGTAAAAACAAAAAGCAACAACTAAATTTGACAAATAAAAATGAAACTTTTCGTTCAGRTTTACCCAGCATCCTCCTCTCCTTTGCTGGCGTCGATCTTGCCGCCGTCTGTGTCCTGCCCGTCATCGCCTGCCATCAGCTCGGCGCCGTTCTGGTCCTCGTCCCCCTCGCCGTTCTGCTCCGACGTCTCCATGAACAGGTTCTCAGCGTCTGCCATTCTGATCTGGACTGAAAACATTTAGGTAAAACTATGAAAGGCAGTTTAAAGAGTTCACAATTAAAAAGGAAAATATTTATACAGACAAACAGCAATATAACTCGTTTCGTACAGATTTAACAGATTTAACATGACATGTGACGTTAAACAAAACAACTAACTTTAACAGCTACGAGACAAAGTAGGCACTTTAATGGACGCGCTGCCTGATCCTTTTTGTGATTTTTTTCGCTTGTTTTCATGCGTACCCTCTGCTTAGCATTTAGAAATCTATTTTAACGTTTTATCTAGTTTGTTTTCTGCTTTGGTTTGAAAAATTGTTGCGAAATTCTGATGTGTGCGACGTCTACGGAGCGCCGCACTTTTTAAAACTGGTGTAATGGAAGTCAATGGGAGTCTGATTTAAAAATAATAATAAAGTTTTGGTATCTGTACATACAGACTTASGAGTACAAAAAGTAAAAACAGCTCTAAAGTTTGAAAAATTTTATCAAAATCCCTAGACAAAAAATTTAAAAATTACATGAACAGGAAACTTAAGAGCTTAAAAAAAACTTTACACCATTCAAAGCCCGAGCCTATTTCTAATCAAAACTGACTTAAACCTTAATATTTATGGGGCATATCTGCATATTTGTAAACAATATTTTTTGTAAACTTGACAAGTATAATAAGTAGAATAAAGTCCTACTGTAATTACTAATAAAAACATTTATTTTAAGAAGTCATCTTGTAGAATAAAACCTTCAGTTTCATTAATAAAAGGAGGTTTTACCTAAACCTGGTTTAAATGATCCAGGTGACAGAAAGCAGCATGGTGTCGTAAATGTGCCAGAAACTTAGTAAAAGTGTCAGAAACGTAGTAAATGTGTCAGAAACGTGTTACCGGAAAACCTTATTCCCTCCAAAATAAAAACTACAAACTCCTGCTGAAGTTAGCAGCACACAGCCATATATTACAGAGCTGGAGGTTAGCCTGATGTTTCGGAGCAGTTGTTAGCAGAAAAAACAAACAGAAAAGCGGCGGGTGTTCGTGATGTTTGAAGCGGACCGCGCTTCGCTCCATCRGCGCCCCGGACATGAGCAGGCCGCGACCGCAACCAGAGCTCCGTCCGACCCGAGAGCGAGGCCTCGAGCCTCACATCACGTGCTAATCCACACAAAAACAATAAAACTACCACATTTATATAACTGAGCAGTCCGCTCTGCGTTTTCTTTAACTGTTTTCACTTCAACTCACATGTGGCTAACAGGCTTCGGCTAACACACAGAGCGGCTAACAGCTAGCTACCGAGCATAAAAACAGTGCGCGGATAAAAACAGACCGCTGCAAACAAACGCACATAAAACAGCTAAAAATCAAAGATTTAAACCTTCTTCCTGTGTTTTTGATTCATCAGGTGCAACGAGACAAAGTTCTTACTTTATATGAATAAACCGGGACACGGATCCGCTGCTCAAAATGGATTCTCTCCAAATTCACCGCTAACTCGTGGCAACATTTATACGACCGGATGTGACCGAGACACGGGAAGAGGAAGGCCGTGATTGGACAACTAAGTGTCAATCAAAACTAAAGCCGTTAGGTGATTGGCTGAGCGCGGTGACGCAGTAACAAAAGGAAGGCGAAGAATAAATGTACTTCCGGTCCACTCGTGTCTTTCACACCGGTGCTTTTAGATAAAATGGAAACATTTTAAACAACGCGCCACTGCACATAACCTTTAATAAACTCATTTATTCGACTAATCTACACTAACAGCCTGCATTGCTCATATAATACCTGTTTTTAATTGAAAATAAAACAGTGGGTTTTCAGGTTTTATGCTTTTTATTTTTTTTGGACATAGCTTTTTAATCCTGATATTTATACAGTATAGAAAGCAATCATTAATGTATTAAGATGCAGTATAAACTCTCCATGTCTGCATGAAATGAAAACCGTACCCACTTGAGTGTTTGGTACACTTTCTCCTGATTGTCAGCCACTGCTCTCAGTGACTGCTGGGGCCGCAATGACCCCTGCGACCCAGGAAATACAAGCAGGTGAAGAAAATGAGTGGAAAACTTTGTGTTACTGCAAAACATTAAAAAAAACATTTGCTTTAACAAATAGTTTATATAGTAGCTTGACTGTTAGTTTTCATTCACTTCCTGGTCGTTTACAGTGAGGTCAGCCATCATGGAGCAGATCCATTCAGTTACAAGTTAAAACAAATAAAATCAAGTCTCATGAGGTGAAACACGTTTATTTCTTTTCAATGACAGTTCAATCCGACTTTATTCACACTTGCTTTAATCTCAGTTAAAAACACGCAGAAATAAAAAAAAGAACAAGTTTTGAGTAAAAGCATGCTTAAACAGCAATATTTTAAATCATAATATTAATTTCATCCTGTGAAGGTTCACAAATCGTCCTGAAACACTTTTTATTCAAATTTTCAGAGCTTGTATAAGTGCTGGGAGAAAAAAAAAAAATACAAAAAAAATTTAAAAAGCTTGGTTAATTTAAGATCGGGACTTGCTGACCCAGTGGTATTTATCAACTCGAGGCCCTGAGAAGGTGAATGTGGCYCGGTAGGATTTAAAACCTTTTGGGTTGGAGAACTGAGGTGGTGGACCAGCGATTTGGAACGGATCCCCAGGAAAGACCTTCCTCTTCTCCCTCAGCCAGGTGTGAGGGGCGCCCGGGGAGAACTCACTGAACTGGAAACAAAAAGGCCAGATTAAGAAAACATTTCATTAAAGTTCGACTAAAACAGATCCGTCTCAAATCTACCCGGTAAACACTGTTGGGGTTGCTGACAGTCGGGATGGTTTTGGGCTCCGGGTTGGTGGTGGGCACCGGGGCGGGGCAGGGGGCGGGACAACTGCCGCTGATGCAGCATTTTTCCACAGGCTCCTCCTCTTCGTCRGAAGAGCTCCCTGATTGGACGTCCAGGCTCGCCCGCTCCACGGCATCGTGGATGCGGCGGGAAAACTCACGATCTCGTCGGCAGCTGTCCAGGATGGAGATACAGAAGGGGCTGCTCTGCTCACCGTACCTCAAAAACAACAAAATAAAAGTTTAAAATTAACGCACCAAGTCACTGCTGCTCAGGATGGTTTTTCTTTGACCCAATATATCTGAAAACTTTACACCCAAACTTTACACCCAATCCATCATAAACTTTAACTTTCCCCACACATTCTGCTTAATTAAAATTTTTATTTAAATAAAAAATTAATTCAACTCTTTTTGAATTTAATTGCACTCCATACAATGACAATAAAGGTATCAATCAGTTCTGAAATGCAGGTCTGCTCTGAACGTAAACACAACCCTGGAACTGAAACCTGCGAGCGGGGGACTCCAGGTAAACCCACCTGCAGGACACCTCTCCAGGATCCACCCACACCGTGATCTCCCGGGGCAGGCCCAGATCCCCGTACTGGACCCCGCTCCGCTCACAGGCCAGCTGCAGCAGCGGGTCCTGCAGCTGGATCCAGTTCATACGGAGACACCTGAAACAGGACGGGGAGAACAGAACACCATGGACCAGGGGTCTGCAACCTGCGGCTCTGGGGCCACATGTGGCTCTTTGGTCCCTCTGCAATGGCTTTTTGAAAATGTGACTAAACATGACAGAATTAATTATTTTTTGTTTTGTTTTGATACCCACAATAGAAATCTGTTTGCATGCAAATATGTGACCGATACTAATACAAAAAGTAAAATATGTTAGCTCATGTTAGTCTGTTTTACTCAAATATTCAAATTTCTTTCTATGATGTCTCTCAAAAAATACTTTTAAATAATTTAAAGACTACATAATAAGAAGAATTAGAAAAAATATGCTTAATTAATTCAATTATACTAGTTTTTATAAAATTTGGTATAAACTACAGTATTTTTCTTGTTTACATGAATAGAATTTTTTATTTTTCCTGATGTGTATAATATAATAATTTTTTTAGTTTTATAATGTCACCTCCACTGACCGTAAAAGTTACCCAAGAGGCCTCGAAAATGCCCACTGACCACCAGTTGTAGCTTGTTTTGTGGCTCTGGACACATTTTATTAGTGAGACAAGGAGCACAAACGGCTCTTTTGATCATAAAGGTTGCAGGCCTCTGCCATGGACTAAAGCAGAGCTTCTCAAACTGGGGTCCCAGGCCCCCCTGGGGTCCACAAACCCTATTTTGGGGGTCCTCATTATTTCAGTAAATYGTAAATTTGTTTTTTTTTAAATGCACATGAGGAACGATGCTGTAGTAAAAACAGACTTAAACAAGAATAATATTCCTGTGGCATTTAAGGGTTAAAGTGACCCCCACTCTGACCTGTAAGCCTGGCCCCTGGACGGTGCGTTCGGGTGCCAGTGGTTCTTGTAGCTCTCGAACAGAACCGAGGTGAGGACGGCAGCGAAGCGCTCCCTCCTGTCCGGGTCCAAACAGCCGTACCTCTTCACCAGCCGGGCCACGAAGAACACAGCTGCAGCAATTTCTTCTTTCATGCCAACAAAAACTCTTCAACCTTAATGTGAAACTAATGAATCCTTAAAAATATCTTGTTTAGATGCTAAAAGTCATGTAGGATGGCCCTACTCCTAAAGAAAGTAAAGTTTAAAAGAACAGGATGAAGTCAAGCAAACAGATTTGCTACATTTAGTGCTCTGCTTTGGTTTCWGGCTGAAATGATTTTCTCTGCTCCTCATTTAATGTTTCACAGCTCAGCTGCTGCAGGCTGCACACCTGAACCTGCTTCAGGTGATCACCCAGCCGACGCCCMCTTTCTGCTGACAGGTTGAAGAGGAAACACTTGTTTTTATCAGCAGTCAACATCCAAACATGCTGCATGATTTCAGGTCTGTTCATCAGAGATTGAACAATATAAAGTCATTCGATCTGCGGAAACTTTCAAGGAAAAAAAGATGTCATTTTCCTGTCCACCTCTGTGTGAGCAGTGGTCCTCCTCTGGCCACCCCTGAGAAAAATGTCAGGCTCCGCCCACTGCCTGCAGAAACCTGTTTTTATTGTTTTATTTTATCGTATGAGAGAGTGATAAGGGTGGAAAGAAGTAAACTGAAGTTTGGACATGTGGCAGCGCAGCTRAATAGTGATGAGAGAAAAGGAAAATGTTTTTTTTTTTTGAAGAATACTTATCTTAAAGTGYCTGTGACGCATTTCCATACAAAAAGTCAAAGAAAATATATTTATGTTTAAAAAACTGCATAATACACATTATTTTACCCATTATGTCACATAATTAGCATGTTTTCTTTTGAACCTGGCTCAGCTAAAGTGAAGCAGGAAGTGACATCATAGGGGAACTCTTTAAGAAAGGGAACTCCCTAGTTTTTGTTTATTTAAATAATATTATTTGAATTATATGACTCTTATCTCTATAATAGTGATTAAAATAATCTCTTCTCTACGGTCTGTGTTGTTAGCCTTTATAGCAACGCTCTGTTTCCATGTAAACATTCCCCTATGACATCACTTCCTGTTGCTTCACATGCAAATATCTCAGCAACTGTTGATCTCAGCAGTATGAAATCTTTTTTTAAATATATTATCAATGTTATCTTTCCAAAAATACATTCAAGTTG